GTAATGTGGATCATATAATTTCTCCATTATAAGTACTTGCCTCATCTCAGAAGAAAATGCCCATTTGGGGAGGTTTCCACCTTATTTATTAGAATGCATCTTTCATTACAATCTGAAATGTTGGCACCTTCCTAAAGCTTTAGCCTCTCTTCCAAAGAGTGTGGCACCATGACTTCAATCTTCATGTGACCTTCTGGGTGTGTACGTCTACATTTCTCCTTTTTCTAAGGACACCAGTTGTATTGGATTAGGGCCCATCCGAATGACCCCATTTTACCTCGATTATCTCTGTGAAGACCCTATCTCCAAACATGGTCAAAACCTGAGATATCTCATCATGACACCGGCCACCGCCAAACTACCAAGTCTCAGCCATGAAGGAAGCCTATGGCTTTCCAACACTCCCTGCACCCTAGAAGCCAACTTTCTGCAAACTGGTTGCTAGGAGCTGGATTTAAAACAAGCCAAACCCTGAAGTGTTATGGGAGGGCACTCTTTTGGCCCTACAAACGAAGGGCCTTTTCAGATTTCCTACTAAGAACCACTTACTTCCAAAAATTGCTTCAAGCTTGTATAGAAGCACCAAAAAGACCTTTGAAAGAAATCATTAGGGTAACTCTGCTCTGGGAGCGGGGGGAGACAATATTTCATGCTGCAGTTTCCAACTTGTAGCTTTGGTGTTTTATTTTTAGTATACTGGTTACTTGCTTTCCACATCAAGAACCAGAGACCAGCTCATGAATGTCAGAAAGCTGGATGCAATTGGAGGATGCTGCAGTCGTGAAGGGCTGACCCCACCACCCACCCGTTTGGTCCCCTATGTTTAGCCCAGAAGACAGCTTCTGCTTCCCTTCGTCAATCACACCAGACCACACACGTGGAAGAAACGGGTCTTGCACTGCACGAACCTCCTGAGAGTTTCTTCCCAAGACACTCATTTTCTCAGCTCAACTAAATCCAAGAAAAATTGGATATCCAGTCCTTGAGGGAAAGCCAACATACATCCTAAGTTTCCGACCAGGACTGTGATTTTAAAGTATGCATTCCTCGTAAGGATTTGTCAGCCCATGGAGTCAAATCTTTGCCTCGGAAAACACAGTGACTCCAGGCATGCGCAACACCGCACCCTGGCAGCACACAGAACTGCACAACCAGAGCCTCTGGACGCAGACAACTAATTAATGCTGTGACCAAGACCGTTCACACAGGAAACTCTCCAGAAACAGCACGCGACTTTTATCACCTGACCCCAAAATGGAAACTGAACTTGCCCTTTCCGCTACGACACTTCATTTACATAATTAATGGGTCTTGTATTTCTTTCAGAGAGGGCACCCCATGGGACATTTTATGAGTGCTTATTAGGACTTTTGAATATTTTGATGAGAGCAGTAGTAAGACAGTAAGATTAGGAAAAACCTCTCAAAGAAATCCTTTCCTAACACCTTAGAAATTTATGTTTTAAATGCAGAAAAATATTCTTTGAATTTAGAAAGGGGGCCCCTCTGGGACACCGAATAATGCTTTAAAAAGAGTATTCTCCAAGGTACTTAGAGTCAAGCATCATGCTGGGGCTCCGTCACCCCCGACCTCGGGGTCCTTCGCCCGGGATGTCCCCTCAGTCCTCATCACAGCAGCCCGCCTTCCGGGCCTCCGAGCACCAGGTGTGCCGGCCGTTAGGGCTGTTCACAGGGAAGCCCTTCTGGCTCTAGTCACAGCTCCTCTTCACGCACCTCAGGCACGGGGGTGGCAGCTGGAGAAGAGACAGTTACCTCAATCTCCTGTCTACACTCCACATATGTGGGGAAAAACAAAACTGCCCGCTTCCCTGACAGCAGGTCCTTCGCTAGTTCGTTTCCCCAAAGCTTTTCCTGCCCAAACCCTGCTTCCCTGCATCACCACCCCTGGCGTCCCTCTTTGCTCTTGCAGCCCCTCCAGCACCTGTGTGATTCTCCACATTAACTTCCCCCCCAGTGAAATGCCTGGTGCTTTCTGTGCTCCAGGCTGGATCTGCCTAAGACGAGAACAAGGTCAAGAGGAGGTGAGCGCCGTGTTCATGTTATAGCTAAAACGCAGTGGGCACTTCCATGTACCATGCACTGTGTTAAGGGCTCTTGCACGCATAAGCCTATTAATGCTTGCTGCCACCCAATGGGGTGACTGCTATCATCACCCCATGTTAGTGATGAGGAAGATGAGGCAGAAAATGTCTTCAGGGATCACACAACTAGAAAGTTGTGAATCTGGGATACAATTCCGAGTCTGACCCCAAAGGCCACCCAGAAAAAAACAGGCCTTTCTAGATACTTCATGCTATATCAAAGGACTGTTTACACAGTTTACAAATAACTTATTTAGATATAACTGGCTTTTTTGTTTTTCTAATAAGTCTAATTCCATAACAGCCTCCTTCCCTTTTAACAAGCTACCGCTTGGTTAGTGAAATAGTATTCTTCGTCCAATGGAACGTCCCATATTCTGAACTTGGCTAGTTGTCTCTTGGTCACATCATTTAAGTTGTGCCTCCATCTTCCACATTTATTGTAAACTTAAAGTTAGGTTGAAAGTGAATCCAGTCTAACTTCTATTTTTTAAAATACGTTTATTGATTTTATAGAAAGTGGAAATGACAGGGAGAAAGAGAAACAGCAATGTGAAAAGAGAAACATTGATTGGTTGCCTAAGTATGTGCCCCGACTAGGAATAAAAACCCCAACCCTTTTGGTACAGGGGACAATGCTCTAACCAACTGAGCCCCACCAGCTGGGACTCAAACCTCTAATTTTTAGGCTAGAATATTTCATTTATGTCTATGTATTTCCTGTTGCATCAAATCAGTTGGCAGCTAATATCCAGTCTTTCCACATTCAGTGATTCTAAGATTAATCAGTGAGTTCAAAGTCTAATCCTGCTAATATAAAGGGAGTCTAGACATGTAAGTGTAAAATCATCACTGTCTAAGATAAGGCTTTGGCACGCAACAGCCAGCACATTCAGTGTGTGCATGTAAGTTCTACAAAGTGACTTGTCTCAAATTCAGGTGTTCAAGGAAAGAAAACATCATACTAGCTTATCCTACTCCTGGGAAGCTCTCAGTAAATTTTGTTGTTGATCAATAGTGCAAGCAATCATTTAAAAATTTTTAAAGAGGTGAAAGTCAAGAAAGTTAAGGGAAGAAAGTTAAAAGTCTAGTACCAAACTTCTTAGAATTCAATGTATTCTTGCTTATTTATTTGAACCCTGTGAGCCCACATTTGCCCATCTGAAAAATGGAGATGTCACCTACTTCACCTTACCTCAAAGGACTATGGGGAGGGTAAAATGCAATGTAAAAGTTAGATATGGCAAATAAAGATTTAGACACATGAGTGAGGTTAAATTTTACCCAGAATAAGAATGCAATAAACTAAAAACTTGAAAAGCCACCAAAAATACAATAAACTAAATGTTTGAGAAGCTACTGCAATCTACATTTGAAGAGATACTATGAATCAATTAAAAGGAAGTTGCCACTTGCCTGTATCTGATATAACAGCAAATTTTAACCAATGTGCCACAAGAATTTTTAAAACATGCCATACCTGATTATTTAATTAAGGGCACCGACCTCTTTTCCCTTAGATTGTCAAATAAAAAAAAAATGACAACAGCCAACACAACAATGGCTGTCCGTCATAAATAAATCAAAATTATACCTTTTTTTAATCAGATCAGCAAAAATTATATTTTTTGGTGTGCTGCAGAATTTTAGTAATTAGTTATGTGTGCCATGAGATGAAAGAGGTTCAAAATCACTGTGATATACTACTACTCTAACAATTCATATACTTAAAATTGACTGCTACCATTTGACAATTTCATTGAAAACCACAATACAGAAGCAGAAAAATCATATTTAACATGGCCCATATTAAAACAAAGGGATCAAACCATAACAGTTGATTTGGGGACCCATCCGCCAAGGTACTCAATTCCCTAAACAAATGTTAATCTAAAACAGAAGAACGCATTAAGCTTAACCTTGTTTACACTGTTTCCATTGATAAAAACATACTTTTTATACATAATATAGCTTGAAAAATATTCAAGCATGTTCCAAAGAACCAACTCACCCTACAAAATATTAAACTCAGTAAGTAATACTGTTCTGAATATAAATGCTATGTAAAATACTCTGAGCACAAATGATTTGTTAACCATCTGGGACCTTGGAAAATCAGACTTCAGACCAACTTCCCACAACTCACCACCAAAGAAACCTTTTAACCATCCTCGGCATTTTGATGAAGGTTCTGGTTTAGTGACTCATCAAATGTCATTTTAAGAGATGAATGTGCATAACACCAAGCTAGTTACTTTTGATTTTTATATTACAAATACGTAAGAGCTGACCAGTTCTCCCTGTGCCCTCTCTCAAGGCAGGTTTTAAGTACTTTCAGGTCCCATCATCTGGAAGAGTCAACATTTTCTTTTATCTCTTCAACCACGGGTGTCTCAAATTTCCCCCATGACATCATTATTATGCTTTGAACATTGCTGGCACAGGCTAATCAATTGTGCTAAATATTTAGTTTGTGTTTACACCCAGTCCGTACAGTGCCACCATCTGAGCAAAAGAAAGCAGAGTACCATTTTAAAGCAAAGCATAAGGAGCAGGTATTTGTCTTTCAAAAAATTTCCCGAGGAGGGAACTTGACATTTAAATACAATTGGCAAACTCATCAGGAAGATCTCAAAGAAAAAGGTTCTGCTGGGATGAGGTTGAATGGGGAAGATACCCAAGAGGCTTTTTCAACTCTTTTTTGTTTTTTTAAGTATTTCAAAGAGCAATTTTCAGAAGAGGTAGGGTGTGCTTACAAAGCACAGCCCACAGCAAGACACAAATCTTAAGAGAAAAACTGTGTCCTAGCACAAGAGTTGGGGGAAGGAGAGCAACTTTTGGAAGAGCTAACAGTAGGCTTAGATACTAAAATCTTAATTTTAAATATAGAAATTCTTACCTCCCACTGTAAGTGAGGCGGGATATTTCGTATCTGAAGTTTCCGAATCCTGCAGAAGAATTAAAATGTTTTTTAAAAGGAAAAAAAAAAACATATAAGCAAGAGACATTAACAGCCAATGTGGATGTTTAGAAACTACTTAAAACATTAATTTTATACCAACTACACACCAATATATAGTAAGAAAATGCAGCCCTAGAATTAAAAAAAAAAAAAAAAAAAGAGTCCGTCACAGGGCGCATAATGAGATTGTCTGGAGACCCAACATCATTAGATTGTTATGGCTCATTTTAAAAGCCACTAAAATGGGCAGATAATAATGTTTGCAACACATTTCATCTGATGACTATATTCTAAGTTCAAACCCTTTAACCTCACATTAAGCACTGCAGGACACAAACAAAGCCTTAGTTCAGAATGTTCTTAATCTGAGATTGCAGCCAGGTGGGTTCATGCATACACTTCAGGGGCCTTGGATGAGAGAGCTGGGCGTGGGGGAAACCATCCATTTATTTTCACTAGCCCCTGAAATTTCGCACCTCTTTTCAATTATAAATGATAGCATAAGCCACAGCAGAATTACGCTACTTGTAGTTTTGACATCCACATAAATCAGTTCTTTTCATATCACATTGTTGTTGCAGATCTACACGCATTACTCTGAAATTTAGATGTGTTGGGAGAGCTTGTTACTTATTATGTTCAGAAGCACATGTTACTATGAGTTCTAACATTTTGCTAACTATATTTCAAAATAATTGATTTCCTCATAATCCTGTGTGTTTTATTTTACGCATTTAAAAACATCCTGTAAGAGGCTCTGGCCGGGAGCTCAGCTGGTTAGAGCATCATCCTGACAGGCCATGGTTGCGGTTAGATCTCCAATCAGGGAACACACAAGAGCCAACCGATGAAGGAATCAGGATGTGGAACAACAAACAGATGTTCCGCGCTCCCCCCCCACCACCACTCCTTTCTCTCTGTCTAAAATCAATAAAAATAAAATTTTAAAAAATACAAATAATAAATAAATAAATAAAAATTTAAAAAAAAACATCTAAAGAGAAATCACCATACATTTCAGGCTGTCAAAGGAGTATTCAGTATAGAAAACATTTTTTTTTTTTAAGAAACCCACTTTATTTCAAATGTCCACATATGTAAATATGCACATATAGTATACTATATATTGTATATAATAATATCTACTATACACGTGCACTCACACACTCCTCTTTTTCTCCCTCTCTTCAACACTGTCAGAGAGAGGAAGATGAGGAGAGGGGGAACATATGGGGAGGGGAGGAACAATAATGACATGAGGTCATAGCATAGAAGATGCCACACACCAGTCAAACCTGTAGAAGGCAAACAAATTCACAGTCAACTGGCTATTTTAAAAATGACCAGTAATTAAGCTTGACATCTCAAGTGAAATAAATTACTTAACTTCTAGAATGAGAACCACAGTTAGTTTTCCTTTCCAGGTCTAATAACCCACTTATTTTAAAGTCCCACAGCAAAACACCACCTTAAACAAGATTCATAGCCGAGCCATTTGTCCCTGCTATTCCTCCCAAAACATGAGAACACATAGGTGCCACAGGTACTACCTGTCCCTTAGGACACTCGAAAGAATATGCAGATTAGCCAAAATCAGGTACATCCTGTGTGTAATCATAAAATGGGGAAGGAAGGAGCATTCTCACATTATTTTTGATACAATAAAACAAAGTGTAATCATCAGGAGCAATATACCACAGAGATAGTGAGAATGTCAATTTAAGAAAGAAAAAAAGATTTTAAACACCACCTAGTGCTCAGAATTTACATATGAAATGCTAGTGTGGGATTTGTTTCAAAATAACTTATGTGCTCATAGTTGTAAAAGCTGCAGGATATGCATGATAGCTCAGTTTTTGTATAAGTTTTTATATTTTCTACAAAAGCCTTAAAAAATACCGTAATACAAGGATTTCTAACACACAGGTTTCGATACTGTTGTGTACATATACATATATACACATGTGTATATAGAGAGAGCTTTAGCTAGCAGAAAAGCTACTCAAATTATGTAAATATTTACCCTGGGTAACCAAGGAAGTAAGAATTACTACACATATGCAAGTTACTAATCTGTTTAATCAAACATCTGACCCAGTAAGGGTTAGTTTAGCAGCACAATGTTAAGAAACTAAGCATTCATCACCATTGGACTAAGTTTTCTGGGTATATATTACTGAAAAATTTCCCCCAAAGTACAAATGTAAATGTACATACAGAGTTCTGGTCAACTAGCCAGTAATTATTCATATTACAAAAATAAATATCCACTTCACATGACTCCCAATAAATTCTTTAAATAGAATTCCATCTCTTGTACATGAGAAGCAATCCATTAACCATGTTTCCCAATGTATTCTTCAAAATGTACATCCAACACCCATTTACTTACTGGAAGTTATTCCAGAATAACTATTTCCCTTAAATGGCTGTCCAGTTTCATTGTCTGATTCTCTCGAGTTTCACTTTAGACAAACATTAGAATTGTTTTCATGCAATTAGTGTTATGACATCAAAAATTTCTTTCTACAGATGTTGCACTATAATGTGTACACCTGAAATTTGTTATTAATCAATGTTACCACGATACATTTAATTTTAAAAATGTGAAAAACATGTAGAAATATACTCAATCACAGTAAAATCATAAGCAATGCAAATTAAAACACTATTGAAATGCAAAAAATTGCGGGGGAGTGGGGGGGTAACAGGGATAAATGATCATGGGAAAAAATTTAATAAAAAATAAATTAAAAAAGAAAAAAAGAATTGTTCTTTTCTGCTTACTCAGTAACTAATCCTAAACTCTCAGTTTCACCTCCAGCTCCTAACCTCAAACTCTACTCTTATCAGTCAGTACAAGAGTCAAAATGCTCCAAGTTACACGGGACCAAACAACGGCATGAATTCTAATCATCCCACATGTAAAACAAACCTCCAGTCTGAGAAGTAGTAGAGAAAAATCAACACCACTCTGCTGTGCTTTCCAAGTCAGCTGTAAGCTCCTAAAACACTGCCACCTCTTCTCTGAGTGCCTGTTCCCATGTGAGCTCCTAGAATTCAGTTATATCTAGGTTTGACTCTGAATACTTAAGAATTGACAAAATGGATATTGGTATGTTTCTACTCTATGATTACCATATCATTAAAGTTCAACTTAACTATCAGCAAAATAAGTTGGAGTTTCACCTCCTCCTAAAACAAAGAGCAGTAGTAACAGGACACACCCTCCACAAGAGTAGATACTTAGGCGACCTCATCTACTGCTGTGTTCAGAACCTGGTACCTACCGGGCTTGGCACCCGAGAAGCACCCAGTTAATTCAATTCTGTTATAATATAAAGAAGGGGAAGAAGAACAAGACTCACAGATCCACCATCCAGAAACTAACATTTCCAATGATTTTCATAAAAATTATAAAGGAAGTGAAAACTGCCACGCTTAAGTTTGAGAATAACAACCAGAAAAATCCTGATTTAATTACTGTTTTTTACAAAAAGCAACTCGAACACAATCTGTTTATAAGTTAATCGTATAGAATTCAAAGGGTTCCCCCCCAGAGAGAAAAATAAGGTAAAGTTTAACATTTTCTGTGCTTGAAATATTAGTTACCATGAAAATTCAATACGAGTTGTTTATTAAAAACAACTTAGATGACAGGATAACAAGCCAACAGAAAAGCTCATAGACTCACTCCAAAGGGCTCGATCTTTGGTAATCAGTGGAGCTGACTTAAGTTTATTTTAGAGAAATTTTCACACTGACACCACATTAGACAAACTCATGAAATCAACCTCCATATGCCCACACCAGCTTCAATGATCAAGTATGATCGCCCGTTCTTATCTATACTCACACCACACCAACAAGCCCCACAATCGTACACCACCATTATTGCTCCAATAGTAACAAAAAGTCCTTGCTATCAAGGACTTTCATGTATTTCCGCTCTGCTTATTTCCAATTGCCTAATAACTGTCTTTTTACAGTTGGTTTGTTCACATCAAAATTCGAACAAGACACACACGTATGCAGTTGATATCCCTTCAGGTCTCTTTCATGCAAGTTTCCCTTCACTGTTTTCATACCATTTATTTGGCAGTCCAGGTCATAAATCCTGCACAATCACTCAGTCTGGATTTTATCCATTGCATCCCCTGTCATTTTAGTAATTGTTTACTACGTTGAATTTGATACAGAATGTATAATTTTTTGTGATAAAGCATAAAACACCTATGAGCGCACCTCACCAAACAGAATAAGGCAACTGCAGTTACCCTTGCCGCCGCCTCCCAGGATGTAACCATCACCCCCAATTTATCGTCATTCTCCTGCCTTTTACTTGTAAGTATTAGTATCTCTTCAAACGACTCTAAGTAGACAAAATACTATTATCAATCCTTAAAGGTGAACAAAACTTCACACTGAAAATCCAGTCAGTGTTCAAACTGCCACAATTTAAAAAAAAAAAAAAAATCTTTTTTACAATTGTTTGTTCAGTGTCCGAGTAAAGTCCATACACTGCATTTGGTTGATTATGACTCTAGTCTCATAATCTATGCATTTCCTCTTTCTTCTGGCCTCTTACGTGAGGGGAAGAAAACAAAAACCTATCTTTGGCCCGTCTGGAGTTTGCTAATTAAACCCCTGTGGTGGTGTTTAATATGTTCCTGTCACCTACAAAAGTGGTAATTAGATCTGAAGACCCAATTTGGTTTTTGTTGCTGTTTGAGAGAGTCAATAATACGTCACCAGGGGTGTCTCATACTCCTGGCTGAGACCCAGTTCTCTCTGGCTGCCGCCCTAAGACGGTGCAGCCCCTAATGATCGTGCCTAAATACATCATTTCATTCAAGGCTGAAAACTGATTTTCTCATTCTGCCATGCCTTCTGTGTTTTTTTACGCTGGAGTTCTCCCACAGAGAACAACTTTCCCTTATCCAATATTTGGATACTCTGAAGCACAGTGAGTACAGTGAAGGCAGG